AGCAGCAGAGGGGCAGGCAACAGGTCAGGGTTTACGCAGTCGATCAGGCGGAGGCAGCACAGTAGCCAGGTACTATGTCAGGGATGGTTGTTCTTAATGATATTCCTGTGTTCGCGTTATTCGATATTGGAGCGACGCATACTTTCATTTCACGACGATGTCTCGATGCCATCGGAGTTCACGTCGTTACCGCTGTCGATCCTCTCGAGGTGAGTTTAGCCTCGGGACGAAAGATAGTGACCTCAGCTAAAGCCTCAGATCTTAGCTTTTTAATCGGTGGCCGAGTGTTGACTGCCGACGCATTTGTTCTCGATATGATGGATTTTGACCTTATTCTCGGGATGGATTGGCTATCCTTCTATCATGCAGACATCAGGTGTCATGACCGGGAGATCACTCTCTATCTTCCGGGAGACGAGTCGATTACTTTCTTTGGCTCCAAGAATCGTTTACTGCCTCATGTTATTACGATGGCGAAAGCCACTAAGCTACTGCGACGAGGCAACTGCCAGGGTTATCTGGTAAGCCTTGTCGACGATTCGCAGAAAGCACGAACCCCTCATGATGTTCCAATCGTTCGCGAGTTTGTGGACGTGTTCCCAGACGAGCTTCCAGGAGGACCGCCCAACCGTCAGGTGGAGTTTTCTATCGATCTTATTCCAGGGGCCGGTCCAGTATCCAAAGCCCCATATCGCATGGCGCCTAAGGAGTTACAGGAGCTGAAGACCCAGATCCAGGAGCTATTACGACTCGGTTTCATCCGACCGAGCGTGTCACCTTGGGGAGCACCCGTTCTCTTTGTTAAGAAGAAGGACGGATCCATGCGTATGTGTATCGACTACCGGGATCTTAACCGGTTGACGATCAAGAATAAGTATCCGCTTCCCAGGATCGACGACTTATTTGATCAGTTGAGGGGAGCCTGTGTATTCTCGAAGATTGATTTACGGTCAGGCTACCACCAGCTGAAGATTAAGGAGTCAGACATCGCTAAGACCGCTTTCAGGACTCGTTACGGCCATTACGAGTTCGTCGTCATGCCTTTCGGTCTCAGCAATGCGCCAGCTGTTTTCATGGACCTCATGAACCGTATCTTTCATCCCTACCTTGATCAGTTCGTTATTGTCTTTATTGACGATATCCTTATCTACTCGAAGAGCCAGAAGGAGCACGAGGAGCATCTGAGGGTGGTTCTCGAAACCCTCAGACGAGAAAAGTTGTACGCCAAATTCTCCAAATGCGAGTTCTGGCTTCAGCGAGTATCCTTTCTGGGTCATGTGATTACTCAGGCAGGCATCGAGGTGGATCCTTCGAAGGTTTCAGCCGTTCAGAACTGGTCGACACCGAGGAGTCCGTCCGAGGTTCGCAGTTTTCTCGGTTTAGCTGGTTACTATCGCAGGTTCATCGAGGGCTTCTCCAAGATCGCCCTCCCTCTATCCCAGCTGACGAGGAAGTCTGTGAAGTTCGAATGGACTAACCGATGTGAGGCGAGCTTTCAGGAGCTCAAGAGGAGATTGACTTCAGTACCGGTGTTGACTATTCCCGATCCTTCTCGGAGTTTCACTATCTTAAGCGATGCTTCGAGACAGGGCTTGGGATGTGTCCTTATGCAGGACGGACAGGTTGTTCCGTATGCTTCACGTCAGCTTAAGCCTCATGAGCAGAACTATCCTACGCACGACTTGGAATTAGCAGCAGTCGTTCACGCTCTGAAGATCTGGCGACATTATCTTTACGGCGGACGTTGCGAGATTTTCACATACCATAAGAGCCTGCAGTATATCTTTACGCAGAAGGAGCTTAATATGAGGCAGCGCCGTTGGCTTGAGCTTGTCAAGGATTACGACTGTTCTATCCAGTACCATCCGGGAAAGGCGAACGTCGTCGCAGATGCCCTAAGCCGAAAGGTGAAGGGTGACTTGATGTACGTCATTACGCAGCAGAGTCCGTTGATTCATGAGTTTGCCCGGATGCAGCTTCAGGCGATTGATGCACTTCCCATAGCTGTCTCGGGGAGTACCAGTGTCAGTGTCAGTGCTATGCAGCTTCAACCGACACTGAGAGAGAAAATCCGGCGAGAGCAGGCTTCGGACGAGTTTGTTCGTGTCATGGAGGCCAAGGTTCACGCCGGAGGCGTCCAGGATTTTCAGTTAGGTGTCGATGGTGCCTTAGAGTTCAGAGGCAGGATCGTGCTCCCGAAGGTCGAGGCGTTGCGGAAGGAGATTCTATCAGAGGCACATACCGCACCCTATCTGGCCCATCCCGGGAGCACGAAGATGTATCACGACCTGAAAGGGTCGTTCTGGTGGCGAGGCATGAAGAAGGACGTCGCCGAGTTCGTCAGAAGGTGTCTTACCTGTCAACAAGTCAAAGCCGAACATCAGAGTCCGATTGGCCTCCTGCAGTCACTGCCGATTCCGAGGTGGAAGTGGGAGGAAGTCACTATGGATTTCGTCACGGGATTACCGAGGTCGTCTGAACATCACGACGCTATCTGGGTCGTGCTCGACACACTGACTAAGGTTGCTCATTTCTTACCCGTTTCGATGAAGATGTCTCTGGACAAGTTGGCTGAGATATATACCCGTGGGATCATCCGACTCCACAGAATGCCCGTCACTATTGTATCAGACAGAGATCCCAGATTCATCAGAGCGGACGATTCAGACGCTTGAAGATATGCTTCGCGCTTTGGTTGTTGACAGGGGTGCTAAGTGGGAGTCACTGTTGTCGTACGCCGAGTTTGCGTATAACAACAGTTACCATTCTTCTATTCAGATGGCTCCTTACGAAGCACTTTATGGTCGCAAATGTCGTTCCCCTCTCTATTGGGACGACGTCGGAGAGCGACGAGTACTCGGTCCTAAGATGATCGAGGAGACA